GTTTCCTAATGTTCCGTTTTGTTCTAATTCATATTGTGAGGCCATTTGCTCATTAAAAAACTCAAGTACTGTATAGTTTGGAAAGCCCCGTTGAAACTAGATGAACTTTGCATCAAGTTTGACAACTTTTATTTTTCAAAATTTGTTTTTAACATCAAAGAGGCTCTTAAAATATTATTATATTACAAAAAAAGAAATTCGGTGACGAGTTTAGTTAAAATAAATGATTTAGTACAGGTGTGCTTAAATTTTGATAAGTAGAAAAAGCAGGAATGCTGAAAAATAGTGAAAATATAAAATACTTATTATGGGTTTGAAACTTGGTGTGTGGGTATAAAATTACAAAAGAAAATGTTTTTATCCTTTGATATTTTTGGATATTTTGAAGAATAATGTCATTTTTCGATGTTTCTACTGCCAAAATCAAATTTCACATAAAACGATAAATAAAAAAGTTTCCCATTTGATGCGGACTTTATCGGTGACACTGTATATAGGATTGGAACCTAGCATTATAAGTGAGGGATATTCGAAATTCTTGACATCGGTACATGACAGATGACTTCTGAAGTTGAAAAGTGTAGAATGAGATTTGTAAACAGCGGTCCCATTTTAAATAGCTCGTTATTTACTCTCTTATGTAATAATAACAGGATGAAAACAGGTACATAAGAGGTATCATAACAGGTAGTAATCAATATTAGGAACAGTAACAAAAAAAGACTGAGTTATACTGATGATGCTAACATGGTTGACGAAACGTGCGACGCGAAACAGTTTTAGTTCTGGTGTGGGAATGTTGTAGGTTCAATACTGAGTTACTTACTTCCCTCATTTTTTTATAAGAGGAGCAAATAAGGGAAATATAACCGGTTTTGGAAAACTCATTCGCTATACATATCGACTGTCTTTCGTATTACAATTAATCCTCATTACATTAATGACATTGTTCCTGACTTTTATTTTTTATTTGTCGAGCGGATATCCGATTTCAGGACAGAATAATAGGTATCTTATTCAATGTCAATATTCATGATTGCCTTGAAACGCATTGATGTTGATATTCAGGGTGTTTTGTGATTGAACTACAGAACAATTATCACACTAACGATGAAAAATCAAGATTTTTTTTCAATTTTTCCCCAAGAGTTACGTTTTGCTTGACCGCTTACTTTTTGGATTAAGGAGGATTAAGGAGGTAAGTATTAGTTGAATTAAAAAAGAGTGACTGATAAGAATACTTATCTACGAGGATTAGTGCTATTTTTATTGTTTTAAAATTTAGAGAAGAACTAGAAAATGACATCAGAATATGATAACGAAACCGTGAAATCATTGATGAGCAAAACTCCAACGAAATGAAAATTTAGATGTAGTGAGAAATGTTTTGACTTGGATGAATCATTTATTGCTCAATATGTAAACACCTTATCTTTCATAGTATACTACAAACGAAATCATTATACGAGTAATCTAGGAAAAATTATGAAATGTAAATTTCTGATTTTTAATTTAGTATTTTTCAGTTCAAATGAAATTACTTAGAAATAATTTTTCAAGTAATCTGGGGTAACAAACATTAAAAATTATAATAAGTTGCTATGGTACAAATGTATCTGAAGACTGCATTATTATTAAAACATCAAAATTGAAAATATTCGTGAATCCAACGATATGCAAACATATACACTGTCTGTTCAAAAAATAAGGTGAATTTTCATTTTTTTCAAAAAATATTTATTTATTCATCAATTTCAATCTTGACCCTCAAATATAATGTTGTGCCAGCGTTTTTTTCCAATCCTCGAAGGAGTGCTGATATTCACTTTTTGGTATATCCTTGAGCTTTTTCAGTGATTCGATTTTCATATCCTCAATCGTCGCGAAACGCCGTCCTTTCATGGGTCTCTTCAATCTTGGGAGCAGGAAAAAGTCGCAGGGGGGGAAATCTGGTGAATACGGTGGCTGAAGCATGATTACGGTATTGGTTTTGGCCAAAAACTCACGAACAAGTAATAACAAGTGTGCAGGTACATTATCGTGATGTAAAAGCTAATACTTCTCATTGACCGTACGACCATGTGGCAAGAAATCCTAATGCATGCACTACTCCACGGTGATTGAAGAAAATAGTGACCAAAATCTTGACATTCCTTGACCATATACTCATGATTCGTCACAAGTTTTGACCCTTTCCAGCAAATCTGGATGGCCGTCATTCCATAATTCCTTAGCGATGCTCATGCGACAGTTTTTTTGATAAAAATTCAGCTATTTTGGAACAAACTTCGCTGCCACACGTTTCATGTCCAAAATTTACGAAAATATTGCTTGGCCCTCGAGCTACATTTCTAGTACTTCAGAGTTAAAAAATGCAATTATATAATACTATGTATTTATTTACAGAATGTATTATTGTCTATTTTTTGTCAGAGCATGAAAATGACCTACAACACTGGCCTTGTTAGTCCGGCCCGTGCTCACGCTGTCACATTAATGAAGGGTAATGTATCTCAGCTAATAACTTAACACACCATTCATCCATTCTAAAGCGGTACGAAGTTTGCCAGGTCAGCTAGTAGGTATGGTCGAAGTAACTGGTATTGTGAATACTTAGTGTCGGCGTTCTCAACAGCCAAAAAAACCAATACAGAGAAATAAAGCCGCTGCCAACTAGTCCACGTGGACTGAAGAATTGGCGGTTCGTATTGGATGGTTTTTACTAACCGAGTGATATGATTGGCTGAAGAATAATAAAATTAAATTTGAAGTCGTGTTACGGTGAAGAATAGAATGCGAGCAGTATGTTGTCAATGTTCAGTTCAAGAACTAATCGCGATTTGAGTGTTGAAATTCGATATTGGTGGAGTTATAATTACTTAAAATTGTTGTTATCTGTTCAAAATGTGGCGTCCTTGGACAAGTACTAATTTTAATAACGAGTGTGATAACAACGCAGACTTTTTCCTGTGTAAGTAGTTATTCCAATAGCGATGGTGAATAATGCGAAAAAGAGATACCAGTGAATAAGATTCGGATGCATTTCAATATTGAAACACAGATATTATGTTTCAACGTATATAAGTATCTCAAGTTTAGTTTCGAGGGAAACAAACTATTACAAGCAACATCCGATTTGACCAAAATTCCTTTCTCAACTGTACGTAAAATGGTCAAAAACAAATCTTATGAACGCAAGACGCGATATGATACGGGATTACCAAAACCTTTAGAAGTTCATCTAATAAATTCATTGAAAAAAACAATATACGACTGTTACAAAAGCAATGACATTCCTACAATTGAAATTATAAGGAAGAAATTGAATACTTCCGCCCATAACGTGAGCTACTGTGACAAAACTCTTCAGAATTGGATAAAGAAACTAGGATTTAGATTTAAAATAATAAACAAACGTCAAGCAGTTATGGAAAGCAGAAAAATAGTGGAATTGCGTAACAAATACTTAGAACAAATAACTAAATATAGACAAGAACAACGGCAAATTTTCTATTTGGACGAAAATTGGTATGACACTCACGACATAGTTACGAAAGGGTTGGTTCTAGAATGTGTACGCCTAACATGCCTGCAAACAAAGGATCACGACTAATCATTGTGCATTGCGGAGGAAGTAAATGATGGTTTCTGAATTCTTTTGAAATTATGTGGAATAAAACTTGGGGACTACAATAATGACTATCATAAGAACGTGGAAGTTAATATTTTTGAGGAATGGTTTGAAAACACATTGATCCCAAATTTGGATGCGAGTAGTGTATGTAATAGTTCTTGACAACGCTTCCTATTATTCGCGATAGCTCATCAAAGTACCGAATGAAAATTCGAGGAAAGATGAAATACAAAGTTTTTTAATGGATATCAATTTGTATTTTGAAGATTACTATACCAAAAACCAACTACTTGGTTTACAGACAAACACACTTGAAAAAGTGTATGCCCTTAAGAGTATTGCTGAAAAGTATGGACACACCATACTGAGATTTTCCCCCTATTTTTGTGTTTTCAATCCCATCAAGTTGATTTGGGGAAATAATTGGTAAATTTTCGTTATCTGGACACCCGGCGATTTTGAAAAAATTTTTGGCTGTACTTACGTATTTTAATGCGTAGATTACGAATCCGAAAGAAAAAAGCGGCGCTCTCCCTTATTTAAAAAGTTACGGCCCTTCAAAGTTCAGAAAATGTGAAAAAGAAGGCTGAAAAGTTGCCCTTTTCTGAACTTTGAAGGGCCGTAACTTTTTAAATAAGGGAGAGCGCCGCTTTTTTCTTTCGGATTCGTAATCTACGCATCAAAATACGTAAGTACAGTCAAAAATTTTTTCAAAATCGCCGGGTGTCCAGATAACGAAAATTTACCCCAATCCCCCCTATTCATTATCCAAAATCGCATATGAACTAACCTAGGTCGAATACACTAAATTGACTGTTCTTTAAGATTCCTTTGCCGGTACTGTTTGACACGTGCACAGCTCACACGTGCTTATGCAGCAGCTAAGTCAGGAATTCAGTAAAAAGAAAAACTCTCAACTCACCTTGCTTCTTTTTCGCCTCGATGTTTTCCTCTTGAAATACTGTCGCATACCGGGCGTTCGGATAGTAACTCCTGTTATTTACGTTCCCGTTCATTTTCAAGTCTTACAAACCGATATTTAATTAATTACAGGACTATTTTTAATTATCACGCGAAACTTGGTCTCATTTTCGAATATTCAAGTTACTAAATTATAAAAATAAATTACGGAATAAATTATCAATAAGTTAAGTTTAAAATTGTACTTTCAGTCGGTAAATAAGGGTTTCTCTCCTTGCGATTCGGTTCCTTCCCAATTAGAACTTCAGCCTTTTTCTTTTTCTAACAAGTACCGAAGTGAACAGGTAATGGTGTGATAATTTAACAAAAAATTTCATAATCGACCATTCAGCAAAATGTCACTAGACTCCAAATAAAATTAGGTTACGTTTTCTCGTATTTTATAGATGTGTCGCTGTGGCACTTGACTCACACACTAACACTGTTACTTCCTATTTCACTGAATGTTTTTTTTTTCGCAATACTTTATATTTATAAATTAGTTCCCTGACTAATCAACTCGAATTTACCTCCACCACTCCGCGAGCTTATGAACGTTCAAAAACCTAATCTACCCAGGCCGACGTGCGACATTGCCAAGTTTAATTCGAAGAAATCAGAACATCACATTTTCGGATGTGACGTTATCAATAATGATTTTTCATTAAACGAGGCAAATTTATCCAATGAAGTTTCAAATAAATTATCAATACTGTATCTCTATGTGCGTTTTACTAATGACAGTAATATTCAAAATAAATTGAAAAGAAAAAAATTTCAAGAGAAAAAACTTTCCATCTTCAAATAAAAAATGAGGAATACTCTCGAAGAAAGAAAAAAATACACAAAAATGTGTATATCATAAATAGAAATTTCCTTCAGATATAAACTGGAAGAACAACCCTTTTGAAACAACTAATTTCACATGAACATTGCACTACACAAAAGAAAAAGTACACTTGAATCAACTATATGAACATTGAATCAAACGAAAATCACTTTTTCTCATCCAGTTTGTACTTCAAACAATCGTTATGGAGTTGAAACCGATATTTTACTTATGCTACACAACGTAATATATGAAAGAGTATTGGTATAAAATTTCACTTACATGGAACACTATCATCCTTAATGGTGTAGTCTCGAAGTTTCGGGTTGAAACCACACTTATTTAAAAAAAAAGGGTACTTTCTTGCATAAGACTACGACTTTGTGTGTTTAGCTTTCTATTTCTCCATCTTCCAACAAGAAGGTTTTTACCCAATATCCAAGTTAGCATGATCAGAATATGACAATCATTTGATTTGAAAAAAAAACACGGTGTATACCAGTTAGGGTGACAGTGTTCCATGTGAGTACAATTTATTACCATTCATTCAAAGTAGAACTCATGTGAATGATATCTGATTCTTATTCCTCAACAAATGTTCGATATACAAACTGAATAGAGAAAAGTATCTTCTGTATAATTCAGTGTTCATATAGAAGTATTTGTTTCGAAAGAATTTTTTTTCTTTCGTGTAATTCAATGTTTATATGAAAGTAGCTGTTTCAGCAGGACTTTCTTTCAGTTTGTGTCTGAAAGTTACTTCTTTGCATGATCTACACATTTTCAAATTGATTACTTCCTTCCTTTCTTTGGAAGATTCTCTCATCCATTTTTTTGTATCAGATGGAGTAGTAGAAAGCCAAAAACTTTCTTTCCCAAAAATGACAATCATATCACGATGATGCTAACTTAGTCAACAAAACACTACTCAGACTCAGAATAGAATTTGTATGTTCTGTTATGGGAAAAGTTTTCAATTGAGGTTTCAATTTACGCCAAATGTTCCAATTCAGCCTATCATAATATCATCATTTGTAGCATATATATGAAAATATATTTTGTTCAATTTTTCACTGTGAATATAAATGACAACCCACGAAGACTCATATATACTCATATATAATTTGATTACAATTTTCTCAAGCACTCAATCAACCACCTTTCTTTGATGGGTTATTACTGCTGATACACAAGGAAAATTGCCGAAACTTTGTAGAAACCTGTCATTGGAGCAAACAAAGTGACATTTTTTAATTTCGTCAATTCCCGCATATGAAGTAAATATACTTGAGAGTAACCTTGGAAAACATGCTATTAAGTTCAAAGAAGATTATATCTCTTAACGATAGTATCATCAGTGAGCTATGACCACATATTCAAAAATATATCTTCAACTACTTAGAGTCATGACTGTTCATCAAGATAATTCACAAATTCGAAATTTATTAGATATAAATCACATTGGATAGAAAGATTCAAGGTTGAGCTTATTAATGTTTAAGTGAAACTGAGACTGGCTCTAGACTGGCCCTAACCCAATTTCACAGAGTTAACTTCAGTACAAGTGTATACACCTCAATTTTGATCGAAAAGAGAGAGAAATAATTTCAATACCTATTTTGAAAAAATTTATACGATTGACAGATCATGATGTGCGATAACATTTACTTTATTTCTTCAAGAAATAGTTTTTCAGACACTTTTAGCATTATTTTCCAAAGATGTGCTTCTTATACTTGGACAAATTATTCAATTTTGTAACACATGGTGGTCATCAAGCTAAAGATCTATGCTGAATTCAGCGGTTGAATTTTTTACTAATTAGAGATGATTTATGTACATATATTGGATTAATTTTCCATAATTTCAAATCTGTTATTCCGAAACTACCAATTCCTTCAAAATGCAAAATAGCTGGAGAGATAGTTTTATGTATGACAAAATAATTTTCTCTTATCAGGGATTTCTAAAGTATTTATACCAGACAATCCCTTCATTATCGAAGAATAGAGACTCTTCTAAAAGTTTGGACGTAGAACTAAAAACATTCAATTAAAAATATCCTAGGTTGAATGAACTAGCTGAAAACGCAGTTGGGATAGCAAAATCCATTTCAAAAAATGATGTCTAGATAGAGCCGTACTGGGAATACACCACTTACTGGCATAGAATTGTCACCTCAAAAATTGTTGAATAAAATATCATTGAGAACAAGTTCACACGTTACATTAAAAAAAAGGACAGCTAGAGGACAGATGTTGTTGTATGAGAACATGTGACTCCACGCTCATTTTTAGTCCGGGAAAACACAATGTATTGAGACGTGACTCAACATTATTAAGCCATAGCTCTACCCCAGAATGTAAATATGTCATATATTATTTTGTAGTAAGGTCAAAAACAATAAAATAAACATGTTTCTATGGATATAAGTCCAAGTGTTACTGTCAGTGATTTAAATGCTTGTGATAAAAGTGATGATGAGACCAATAATCCTATATATGCAATTGATGAATTTCTTGATTTGGTTAAAACTTGATGTACATTTGTGTATGTATATATGTGTATATTTATGAGTATAGTATGTATATTGTACTTTTATATTTATGAGTATCGTCTCCATCGCAATAATTTGTAATTTTTATCTATTTGTATATTGACGACCCTAACATATTTTATATGGCAAAAGAGGTAATAAATGAATTGAATTGAATGAATTTATATTACTCGTTCGGACTGAAATATTACAAAGCCCATTAGGTTTAGGAAGTGATTTAGTTATTAAAATTAACAATAATATAAGTCCTCATTCCCAGAATAATACAATAAATTTTTAGGAAAGAAAGTGTTTGGCTTTCTACTACTCCAGATGGAGTAGTGGAAAGCCAAAAACTTTCTTTCCCAAAAATTAATCACTCCTAAAAATATAACCCCTTCAATTCAGATACAATAAATGTACTGAAATGGGAAAGGCTGAAGATCAGTGGGTTGTATAGAAATATGCAACCTCCGTTTTTCATCTTATGTGTTTAGATGAAAAAAAGATAAGTTAAGTTGATAGGTTGATAGTCTGAAAGAGTTCTCATTATGCTGGCATTGGCCAAGCTACAGTAGATTGCCAATGAAAAATGTATGATGGTCGATATTGACGACTGAATAAACTAGTGTAAACCCACAAAAGTTGGATAATTGAAATGTAACTCTCCATCTTTTTATTGACGGCGTTTGTTTTAGTCCTGGTAGTTAGTGCGAACTGTTTTCTCATTTGGCAATTCTATTCAACTCCCGTGAAAAATGTTACATATGGCAACGCGACATTAAGTTAATACCGGTGGTGAAACTTTTAACAATCGCGGTGAGCAAAGAGAGATAACCCGTTCTCTTTCTGTACATAGCTTTTATTTGTACTATCTCTCTCGCTGCTGTCGCACTCAATTGTTTGCAAAAGCCGGCAAATTGGTTGGTGATGGAAAAAGGGTAAGGGGAATCGATCTGACGTTAAACGGATTTGCGCAGACGCAAAAGCTGACCGCTATTTGCCGGCGAAAAGCCGGTGCCGCGGGCATGGCTAATTTGACCCTGATTGTACCCCGTTTGTCGGTAAAAATCATGAGACGGAAAGGAGTTCAGCGATTTCTGAGATTTGCACCTCGTGCGGTGCCTCGTCCTTTAATTAGTTCAATATTCTTATCTAGGCGTGATACGGAGTGTTTGCCAAAAGTCGGGAAGGAAAATTAAATTAAAAATTTGGGTCGTCCACATACTATGAGCATTACAAAACGCACGTGAATTACATACGAGGGACTTACAAAAGTAATTATGAAAAAACTTTGGAGAAAAATCTAGATGCTCGTTGTACATATCTCTTCTTGAGAAATGTATCCACACTCCAGAACTACAACACTATACTCGACGCGAGTTTCACTATTAACGTCATCGTAACTCTAACCTTTATATTTATATCCAAAGGGTAGATTTTCTCATTCACTCTCAGTCAAAAATCAATGATTTCTCAGCTGGAAATTTCGTTGAAAGTTGCCGATGAGGTCTGTTCAAAAAATAAGGTGATGATCAAATTTCGCGGGCTACTTACATTCTATTAGCCATTTTTTATTTTTTTTACGTTGGTACAATCGTCTCGAACACACATTCACATGAAAACGTTGAGAAAGTGAATAAAATTGTTATGATCAATCGTCGAATCACTATTAGAGAAGTTGCTCGGGATGTCGGTATAGCACTTGCAATTTTTTCGGAAATTTTAGGCATGAAGCGTGTGGTAGCAAAGTTTGTTCCAAACTTGTTAATTATTTATTTATTTATTTATTTATTCTCATACAGGTGTAACCTAATTACATGAGAAAATCGTTGTACAAGTATCATGAATTCATATAGCTGGTATACAATGAAAGAAACTAAAGAGATACCTATGTTATAAGAAAGAGTAAATAACTAATCCAAAAATATAACAGATAAGCTAATGATTGATACTTTTATTATTAAATTTTCAAGCCATTGAAAAATTCTTTAGGGGGTCGGACAAAGCTGAGTTCGGACCTTGAGTCGTGGTGACTAATGGAATTTCGAAAAAAGGGGTTGATCTTGTAAATTTAATAGGGTTTTTTCTTTTCATTAAACTACTCAACTGACGACAGTTGAGATAGTTATTATAAATTTTGTAACACATTGCAAATATTATGT